ACCTGAATTGTTCTATGATTCTATGATTGCTAAACTCCAGCCTGAAGTTGGAGTGCACTCCTGCGCTCCAGCTGGAAACACTCCTTCTGCCTAGCAAGGTGCTGGAGCAGAACAGGGCTCTGTGATTTGGGATCATCGTAGATCTATATGTTCACAGGAAGGCAGTGGAAAAAAGGTTTATGCCAGAAAGGGGAATCCTGTGCAAGAAGAGAGGTTAAGGAAGATAACGAGTCCCAGTACCATCTTGGCATGAAACTCCACCAAAGAGTTGAGACCTCAGGGACAGCTTCTTCTTCATTCCTCCCTAGCAGATCAGATTAGAGGGGAAGGAAATAGAAAATTAATATTAATCCTAACCCACACTCTCCAAGAATCAGGTGATGTATGTAAATAAAATGACAGTGAAAATCCCCCTGGACAGCTACCTTGGAAGTAACATGAAATTAAGCCTGTCTGCTCTGTCTCGCTCTGCTTTGTATAGCTCTGTCCTTTCCTCCACCAGGTGCTCCAGGTTCCGGGAATACAGCTGTAGACGCCGGATCAGGGTGTCCATGTAGCTTTCATTGGTCTGGCCATGGTAGTTACTGTGAATAACAGAAATACACAAGTGACAACAAAAAAGGGTTTACGGAAGCACACTATTGAGAGAGGCAAAAAAGAGGCAAAAATGGAGCAACGGAAAACTTCTGTCCAGTTAGAATGCAAAGTGACTCAAGAGCATCATTCTTTTTCTTGCTTGGAGGATTTAAGTATATGAATTGAAAGTCTGTGATCCACGCTTGTCACTTGAAGCTGGCAATTCTTAAAGCACCCTTAGATCACCTAGTCCTGCTAATATTCTCAACTCCAGGTTATCTTGGGTAATCCATGAATATTCATTTGGGAAGAGTTAACTGATGAGCTCGAATCCTGAGAGGAAGCTAAAGATAGTTGTTAGAAAATTGCACATAATGTTTAGATGGTGACTTCAGCCAGAAGTATTAAGACAATTTGGTGCTGCCTGTGTAAAAGGTAGAACAATTCAATGGAACAATTAGCGGCCCCTGGGCTAGTTTTACTCACAAGATCCTGCAGAATCCAGCCTATTAACTCCTGGAAGCAGAAATAGTGTAACAAGAGCCACTCATAACTCCTATTTGTCTGGGTAGCCTGCACTTGTCAAAACAGTCTGAAATCAGAAGGAGCCAGGCTGACTGGAAGAGTCGAATTAGTATTGTATCCAGCTGGACTTCAAGAGCACCCTTACTTTAAACAAAACTTTCTGGCAGGGATGCATCCTCTCATGAGGAGAACACCATCTTGTGTGTAGCAAGAGACAACCTCTTTGTTTTTGTAGGATAGAGTCTTAGAAGCTGAACCAGGACATCTTTCTGTTCAGCTGCAGTAAGATTTTCAGTTGATACACAGAGTTATGCATAGTGCAGTTGTCTTTCTGCCCATGTAAAATGTGAAATGATGTGAATACCATTGGGGTTTGTTGGTGAGGTGAGCTTTTCCAAAGAGAAGGGATTAAAAGCTCACCTTTTGGACACTGAAATAATTAATTCAGAACAAATTCTCCAGGAACAATGCAGCATTGGCCAGGTGAAAGGCATGTATAACCCCACAGGGTTTATCCAGCTATGGCCTCTATTATTCCATGACTACACCAACAAAACACTGTAATTAATGCTTCTGGTGAGTTACAGCACAGCACACTTCTAGTCAGCCTAAGCTGGGACCATCCAAACTCATTTATGGCACAACCCAGTTCATCCGAAATTTCTATTCATCCTCCAAACATTTATGTTCATTCATTTCCCGAAACTTCGATGACATGAGTCACTCTCCAACTCTTGACTAGGGACAGGGAATGAATTACTTGAATGGTTTAAATCTCTAGTTATCCAGATTGCTACTTTCACAATGTACCAATCTGAGGTATGGTGATCATCTTACCCTCACTCAACTAATACATTTATAAATGCTCATGTACACACATGTACATACACACACACACATGCTTGCCTGTGTTTTCTGCCAAACAATAAAAGAGGATTGAAGAGATTACACTCATTTTTTCCAATGACTGAATCATAATCATATCATCTCACATGCTTAAAAGTATGAGCTTTCTAACGTGTAGGAGGAGTTTGGAGAATCTTAAAAAATAAAGTCTCTGTTGCTCACCTGAATATTTTGGCCAGAGTACTTTCAATTTTCTTAAAGTCAGGCCTTTTCTCTGGATCTTCCTCCCAGCAGCTCTTCACTAGTGTATACACCTTTAAAAAAAAATTAAGGAAAGTCCACCTGAGTAATGGATGTAGAAGGATAATGGTGCTTAACAGCGCTAGTTCATGAGGGAATTTCCAGTTACTCTTGACCGGCAACATATTAAAATGTGTGACTAACTGTTTTGAATCTATGTTTAGGACACTCAGGCATCTTAAACTTAACACTGTGGTGACCAGTGACATGATCTTAACTTGAATTTGCAAGATATACAAATGAAAGGCAAGTAGATGGATCCAGTCTTGCTGGTGCCAGATACAGTTATTAACATGGATGTAAATGTTGTGGTAATTATAGTTCAAATAACCTGAGTTTGGGATTTTTCTGAAAGTAGTGATTCAGCCAAAGAGAATGAGGTTCATTGCTGAACATGTAGGTGCCTAAAATACAGACCTTTTCACCTGAGCAAGAAGCCTGAGGGATTTCATAATCGGTGGAGAGAGGTATATTTGAGGTGTGTTTCATCCTATCTTAAAGATACCTAAAACAGGTCAGAAGAGTGGCACTGTATAAGCGTCCATTTCTTTCTAGTGAAGTAATTTTCATGAGTTGTACTTCATTTCACTGGTAACAACTACAAAATACCTTTTTTTTTCCCATGAGGTTAGGTCATTTGGCATAAAACATGCATAGTTTTCGTCCTCCCATGATTATGAGCTCTAGTTTGGCCAGGACTTCTACCCTTCACCCAGAAAATAGTTTTGTTAATAATTAGCTTACTTCCATCTGTTTTTCTCCCACTGCTTCCAAGGACAAGTCTGGTCGGAAAGGCTTCACTCCTTTGCTGTTCTCAACTCTGAAAAGTTTCTCTAACACAGGGAAAAGACACAAAATGTTAAAGAACAAGTCAGAAGGACATTCCTTGTGAATAGTGTCCTATGATGTTATGAGTTACTGTACAAACAGAAGCCTTGAAGAGAGTTCCCTCATTTTAATGTAAATTTCAACTGTGGAACTTTTCTAAATATATGGCACAAGATCAAAACAGGCTGGCTTGAAGGCCCCTGAAAGCAAAATGAATAGGAATGTACATGAGTATTTATTGGTCACAGTAGACATGGTTATGGCATCTTCCCAAATGAACGTTAGGCGTTATTAGTGTGCCTCTCAGCGTGAAGTATGGCTATTGTAAAAAACTACGTGCAAAGGCCATTGCGACTTGATCAAAAGTGTGGAGACATACAACTCTCATCACAGCAATTCAAATCACCTTGCAGATGCTGAGCTTCCTTAAAACTAGGCTATTAGTGTATACGGTTTAAAACCCATTGCATTTGTAAGCTCATTTGTACTCTTACTCATTAAATCTGTTCTAGGAGTTATTTGGATTCTGAGCACATCAGAATGCAGGCTGCGTTTGCACAACTCGATTTAAGCACAGTAAGTGAGAGCTAAAGCAAAAATATCTCTCTTTGTTCTTCTCCAGACCTCAAGAGTTCCAGAGGGAGGGAGTTAAACTCCCTACCTCTGGTGCAGAGAAGGAGCCAAAAGGGATCCATGAACAAGCATGGAATAAGTTTATTAAACAATGTCTGATTGTATTTGGGAGAGAATTTTACTGAAGGAAGCATATAATGAGATGAGGAAAGTTTGTAATCGAGATGGTTTGTGCAAGTCCAGAGCAGCTAGGGATGTCTAAGCATGCCCAGTGTGCATGATCACCGTAAAAAGATGCAGTAAATTCCAGCTTTGTGGTACAGAAATTACAGACTAAAGGAGGAGCAGGAGACTTGAGTTTCCCAAGTGCTTTGGAGTTAAGAGGTTGCTGAGAAGTCTTCTGTAGGCTGAGAGAGAGAAGAATCGGTGTAAGTCTCATGTATGCTAAAGGAATGTGTTGAATTTCCATGCAGAGTACACATCTGAGAGCAACTCTTAGCAACACTGCAATTAGCCAGTGGCAGAAAGTAGTGGAACAAGGAGGCAGCTTGAATTGAGCACTGGTACGTGACAAGATTTCACAGTCTTGAGCAGTGAATGAGGTGTTTCTGCAGCAGAGTGGAGCAACCAGATGGCCTAACAGCTGTCTCACAGAGAAGTCAGCAAAGAGAACTATGACCTACTTATTTCTTTACATTAGAAATCCAGTTCTGTATGCCCATCATCTTTGTGGGACTTTTTTTTCTCTCATTAGTAGTAGTGTTATTGTATGTTAAGTTGATTAATATGTATGTGCAGGTTGAGAAAATTGACTCACCGAGTACCTGGAAGTTGAGTTTACTTTTCCTAAGTCGGTGGATGGAGGCTAGGTACAAGGTTTTTTGAACAACTCAAAATCTGAACATAGTCCCTGCTGCTGCCAGTGAAGTCTTAGAGAAGTGGTTATATCATTTGCCCTGAAATATCAATATCATATTTTCTAACCTGAGGAGTTAAATTTCTGATAGCCTCGCCACTGAAAGGCTTTCTGCAGGAGGCTTGAAAACCAAATGAATCTAACATGCAACAGAGGTATTTGTTTGCCCACTACCATTGACTTGAATTTGGCATTCTTTTCCCTCTTTTTATCAAAGATATTTGTAAATTAATGGTCACCCCAAGTTTGGGCTACTGTCTTCCAAAGTTAGATCATGCCACAAACAAAATTCAAAGGTGTTTGAATAAGTATTGTCCACTCTCTTGCTGGTTCATCTTGGTTAATGAATAAATTCAGACAATTAAATGAGGAGTCACTTCAGCAATATAGAGTAATATTCATTCCTTTCTCTTACATGAAATTTGGTGTTCTGCTGAAACTAGGCTGAACACATTTACTTAAATTAATAATAAAAAATCAAGAATAATAACAGAAGCCTTTAGATCAGGAATACATATCTTAGCCAACTACTAATGCTTTTAAGGAAACGGCTTTGGGTAGAAAAAAAATCTCCTCACTGAATGGAAAACTTAAAACTTCAACTGAAGTTTATAAAGCAGATTTTTTGAAGTTTAGCTGAATCCAGACTTAGCAAATCAGCTTCAGGCCCAGTAAGTTTATTGCTGTCTTACTAGACATCCTGATATGTGCAACCATCTTCAGCAATAGCACCTAGAGGTGCTAAAAATTCTTTCAGTTGGATGGATTAACCTAATGCTATTTGAAAGGGACGTTTTTTCTAAAATGACAAAATGCAGTGTTAAGAAACAGGACACAGTTAAAAAAAGGAACCAGATTGTGACTATGATAGGCAGGGACAAACGCAGAGTGGAGAACACAGAAACATTATGTCTGCGGCTAACATAACAACCATTAACATAACACAGAAAGACTGTAACTATTCCACAAACAGTTAAAAGAATGTAGTTTGATATAGATTTGCTTTGCAAGTCAAAATGAGCATTGACCTTTCCTTTCTCCATCTGTTTTGGGGATGTATGTAACATCCTTGCATTCATGAGGACTGTGTCTGCCTCTTCTCAAGAAAAAGGACGCAAAAGATTTTTCTGTACTATATCTTAAGCATGCAGTCCTGAAGAGTTTGTTTGAAGGGGAACAGGTGTTTCTTATCTTTTAGGTCTACATTTATATTAAAGGCTTGGTGATGTGAAATACTGTGTTTCCCCAGATGTGAACACAAATTTTTTGATAATGTAGGATGATGAATGTGCCCCAGAAGTTATTCTCAAATGTAACTCAGGAAAAGAGCTATTAGGCTGCCCAGCTGCTGCTCTAGATGTTTTACCAAATGTGAGGCGGATCTATCAGAATGACTCAGAGGTAAAGGCAATGTCTAAACTTGTTGTTGGTTACCGTCACTAGGAAAATCCCAAACCCACACATGCTTTTATGTCAGTTCTAATTTATAATAATGCCTGGATTCTGGGAACTGGGATTGACCGGGCTGTTATACACTCAAAAACAATGTAACCAAATGCACAAAATGGAGTTTATGGGATGCACTGCAGGAGGGGATGCTTTTTCTGCCAGAAGTTAGATGACTAAAGTTAATTTTGACAGGCTTGAATAAAGTCTGAATTGCCAGTTTTTAAATGCCAACTGTTCTTGTGTCATGCTGCTGAGTTTTTGTTGTTCTGTGTTGGCATTGCCGATTTATGATGCCTAATATGAATGTGCACAACTTCTAATAGAAAAAGCATTGTGGCTTTTAAATATTATGGTAAATCTGGACAGCATTGTATAATGTTAACTTTTGTAATGCTGTGGCCAAGGTGAGGAGGGAGGAGAAAGGTCAAGAAAACTCAGTGTAAACTTTATTTGCGGAAAGAATAAGGACATCTGTTCCCACAATGAGATCCTTCAAACAGGCTTTTCATTCATCACACAGTGAAAGGAGCAGCAGTTCAAGCAGCTGTCAGAGATAGTGCCTTTCACAAAACATGGAGAATGGGCTGGTTACAGTTACACCAACCCAGAAGGCTGCAATGGAGGAGAAATTTGTGGATTTACCTTTGTTGTCCCAGCAGTCTCCGGTGTAGAAGGTCTCCCTGCGTAGGATGATTTCTTGGGCAATGATTCCATAGCTGTACACGTCACCCTTCTGAGAGACATCAGCGTTCCGGAGATGCTCGGGAGCTGTCCACAGGTCTGCAATCCAGATGACAGCAGGGGATGAGGTAAGGAAGGAAAGGAGAGAAGTAATGGGAGAAGGGTGATCCTCCTCAGAGCATCCATTGGCTATAGTGATATTTCTTTTACTCTTTCCATATCAAACCTAGAGCCCATTAGTACCACTTATCTTCTACTTTAGCATCTTTCTTGAGAAGCTGACATCAGTACAGGTTAGATAAACCTCTGATGTGGTAGTTTTCAATTGTCTGGGTTTTGCTGACCCCACTTTTTTCCACTGTAAATGCAGAACCTCATACCTCTGGAAAAGTTATGGTTATCGGCAATGAACTTGCTCTTCTTAGCTACCTTTTGTGGGCTTCTTAAAAATAGCTTATGCATCTCTATAAGAACAAGGAATGCCAGTATTGTGAAAAAAAAAAAGAAAGCTGAGCATAAATTATTGAGCTAAATGCATGGAGTTTGTTATACCAGATGTCAGATGAGAAGACTGTAATATTTGCAAGTGGCCTTGATATCACGAATCTATTGAATAATCCTCAAGTGCTTTTGAACCTGACATAATATTACCTGCTCATAATCACTTTCTTTCTACAGAAATTATTAATCTGTATTTCTAGTGCAACAAGCACCATTGTACCTCAAAACCAGAATGCTCCCATAGTATGACAGTTTCTTTTGACATGCTGGTGATGTAGAGCATTTACATTCAGTGCACTTTTCTTACTCTTTTTTTTTGTGTTCTCGTTGTTACTCTTGGGCATGTTTGTGTCTGAATGTAAAAATTTTCTCTCAACCCAGCTGCAACTGTGTGATCAGTTTGTCCTCTGATCATACACTGCAGCTATGACACAGGGCTGTGCTTATTATGCTCCAAGCTCTACTATACAGATTCAAATGGCGTAATTTCAGATGGGCTCATAAGAAGGAAAACACAAGTGGAAAGGAGTGCTCTATTTTACAGAAATGTCCTATGAATATGAGATTAATAGAAAATGTAAAGAAAATATGTTTAAATTATTCTAATCTGAATGAACACATATTTCTAGGTTCCTACGTAAGGAATGAAAAATATTCTGATTATCATTGCATATCATTACAGATATTTTTAAGGATGATCAGACTCATGAGTGTTAATGCTTAAATTAAATCCCAGAGCGCTGTGGAAATGTGTGCATCAAATCAATAACAAGACCATGTGATAGTTAACTCATGTTTTTCTTCATGCAAGTTTAGCATTATTGCTGAAGACAGCTACTTACACGAAGGCCTTGGATGCAAAAAACTTTTCTTACATGTCAGCCACAGGTGAAATCACTGTTTTCTAAACTATAAATTGAAAATTCATCTTACCTTTCCTTCTCACCTACACTGCCTAGTTTCTTTCTCTTAATGCTAATAATTCTCTTTCATTGTGTTATCTAAGTCAAGACAGTGTTTTCAGATATCATTTTTATGATGGCTTCTGCATGAAACAAAATCATATTTTATGTTTCATACTGTGTACAAGATTTAATTAGGCCCTACAGGACTATGAATATAAGAAAATTCTATTAGGTAGGAAACTATAAAGGACAGTCCAGCTGGGTACTGTGCTTACCTTTCCTTGGAGGCAGAATTGAATTACAGCCAAAATCAGTGATCTTCACTACCATGCGATTGTCTACTACACAGTTTGTGGATTTGAGTCGACCATGGACTTCAGTTTTGCTTGAGTGGAGGTAAGACATCCCCTGTGATTGATAATAAATGAGGAAGAAGGCAAGACGACATGTGAGACACCCAGCTGTTACTAGACTCAACAAGAATGTGAAGTAGTAGTGTAATATCTGTCCAAGTAATTAAATGGCCTTCAACAGCAATGGATATGCATAAATCACGATTCCCTGTCATGGAGGGAAACAAATATTATTTTACAGAGGAGACTTTCCAAGGTGACAGGAATAGTTAATGTTAAGAAATGAGGAAATGGATCATTAGAAGCATCAAGTCATGGAAGACGATCCTTCCTCTTAGTTAACAAAAGTCTGACGTAGCATCTTGGGCATTAATAAGATTAGAACACAATTCAGCAGTTAGGATAATGTATTTCCTCCCACACAAGTTTTGATTTCACTTGCAGTAAATGCTTTTTGGTAAATTTAGTGCAGTTTTGTTGGAATGTCACACCAAAAAAGTGCTTCCAACTACATGTTCATCCAATGGACACCACAGGTGTGAGATGAATTGCTCTTTATGTCTGTATTTTTGAAGATTACCATACAGCAGAGACTTCATTCAGAAACACTGCAGCAGATCCTCTAAAGAGGATCCTCTAAAGAGAGGTCAATGCAGAGAGTGTTAGATGATGCATTAAGGCTTACAGAAGGCAGGAGATCAGATTAGACCATCATAATAATGTGACCAGCAGGAGCAGGGATGTAATTGTGCCCCTGTGCTCAGCACTGGTGAGGCCTCACCTCGAGCCCTGTGTGCAGGGCTGGGCCCCTCACTGCAAGAAAGACCTTGAGGGGCTGGAACGGGTCCAGAGGAGAGCAACGAGGCTGGGGAAGGGACTAGAGGGAAAGTCCTGTGAGGAGAGGCTGAGGGAGCTGGGGGTGTTTAGCCTGGAGAAGAGGAGATTCAGGGGGGACCTTATCACTCTCTACAACTGCCTGAAAGGAGTTTGTAGTCAAGTGGGGATGAGGCTCTTCTCCCAGACAACTAGTGACAGGACAAGAGGGCATGGTCTCAAACTGCATCAGGGGAGGTTTAGGTTGGATCTCAGGAAACACTTCCTCACAGAGAGGGTGCTCAGGCATTGGAATGCACTGCCCAGGGAAGTGGTGGAGTCACCGTCCCTGGAGGTGTTTAAGGAGAGGCTGGATCTGGCACTTAGTGCTGTGGTCTAGCCGATGTGGTGGTGTTGGGTCATAGGCTGGACTTGATCTCAGAGGTCTTTTCCAGCCTCAACAATTCTGTGATTTTGTGTGATTCTGTGAGTATGGTTTTCTCTGTACTAGTCAATACATATCACAGAATCACAGAATGTTAGGGGTTGGAAGGAACCTCAAAAGATCATCTAGTCCAGCTGCCCTGCAAAAGCAGGATCACCTAGAGTAGGTCACACAGGAACACATCCAGGCAGGTTTTGAAAGTCTTCAGAGAAGGAGACTCCACAACCTCTCTGGGCAGCCTGATCCAGTGCTCTGTCACCCTCACAGTGAAAAAGTTTTCCCCAATGTTTTTGTGGAACCTCCTGTGCTCCAACTTGCATCTGTTGCCCCTTGTCCTGTCATCGGACATCACTAAGAAGAGCCTGACTCCATCCTCCTAATATATTTATAAACATTAATGAGGTCACCCCTCAGTCTCCTCTTCTCCAAGCTAAAGCAACCCAGCTCCTTCAGCCTTTCCATCACCTATCCATGAGTTAATTTCTGAAGCGGGCATGATGAGGACGCTGATGCAGTTGCAGCTGTACTTCCTGAGATTCAGCCTCCTGTTTCTCAACACACAAAGGCATACAAAGGTGGTTGCTTGCCCCTTTTTACTCATCATCTCTGAATTTATCTCATTTAGTCTAAGGCAGCTGAATATAATGTAATACATGAGAAGGGGCCAGCACTGAGGCATAGCAGGAAAAGAACATTAGTAAGTGGGCGTAAAGTGAAGAAGGGAGTAGGTATGCTAATTTGCACCCTCTTGCTATTATTTATTCCGCTTCATCTCTCTCTTCTGAACTACTTAAGCTCCCACCTACTTATAGAGTACTGCTGGTTGTTTTTCTTCCTACAGTCCCTTTTCCTGTAGCCCAAGCTATATTCTGTGGAAGCCAGAACAGGTACATCATATCTGTTTAGTTTCTTCTCTGAATGGTTTTCCACTTAGACTCCTACTCCTAGATGTATAGCTCATCCTTTTGTATGATAACTGCTAGATAGACTTTAATCAGGGTGACATAGCTCACGTGGTCATGAATTTGCTGTATAACATGCTGGGTTTTCCCTCCAAATACTGTGTGCCCATAATTGGGAATAGGTCAGAAAATGCTACAGGAGGTCACTGAGACATGAGCTGAGTTTTAGGCACAGCAGATGTATGTCTGAGACACAAGCAGCCTGCAAGAGATGCAATCGCTGGAGAATGCTGTTGGACTGGTTATCCTGGACCGATCTAGACCCTGCCAAAATTTACAGAGACTGTGCATGATATATCCAAGGAACACATCTCTTGATTAAACAGCTTTTATCACGCAGCCCTGATGACACTATCCAGGATGTTTTGCCTTCTTTATGTTCTATTTCCTCCAGCTGTGCCTTTTTCCATCTCCTGCTTTCATCAGCCAGGAAATATACCCACTGCCACAGCAGAATTCCCAATCAGTTTCAACATCAAATGCAGGCAAAGGTAATTTTTATTTCCTTATACCAGGGCTTTCTTGTTAACAGTTTCTGAAGGCAGTAGTCTTACAGATGTGACTGATAAAATTTTCCTCTTTCCTTCCAACTATCCTATGCATCTACTTGAAAACACAGAACCTATTAAGAAACAATGATATGATTTTCAAAATTCATAATGACATTCAGTGCAGTACTCCTAAATCCTTGAGGCACTCTTGCGACCTCTGCTCTGAACCTTGGAAGCTTTAGTTCTTTTTTCCTAACACAGTGCAAGAATATTACAAGTCCTTGCACAATATCCTGCAGCAGCCCCTTATTTAATAAATAGTGTTGTAACGACAGTGTATGCACTAATAACTGCAAGGCTTGATTACTTCAATTCCTTCCTAGTAGACCTTTCATCAGAGCAATTTGGTCACATGTGGCCAAAACCATGTAGCTACAGGTGCTGCTATCAGACCTAGAGGCAGCAAAGACAGCAAAAAAAAAAGTAGGTAAGGAAATTAATGGAGCAGATTTAGGGCTTCTCCTTTGCCTATAGCACCTCCTCTAGTGGACTAGAGGCTGCTATAGGAAGTCACTACTTGGCTAGCTGTACAAGGGAATAAAAATGATCCAAACTCTGTTCCGAAACACTGATACAGCAGTTTCCGTGCCAAATGAAGAGTAGTTGAAACATGAGGACTGTTTGGGCAATGGTAAAAGTGGGATGTAGGAGAGGGAGAAGCTGGAATGATTTAACCCCAGTTGGCAGCTAAGCACCACACAGCTGCTTTCTCAATTGTCGGATGACGGGGAGAATCAGAAAAAAAAGAAGTAAAACTCATGGGTTGAGATAAGAACAGTTTAATAATGGAAATAAAATAAAATACTATTATAATAATCGTAATGAAAAAGTAAATAATAAAAAGAAAGAGAAATAAACCCCAAGAAAAGACAAGTGATGCACAATGCAATTGCTCAATGCCTGCTGACTGATCCCCAGGCAGACTCTGAGCAGTCATCCCACACTCCTGGCCAATTTCTCCCAGTTTATATACTGAGCATGATGTCCTGTGGTATGAATAGCACTCAGTGAAAGCTGGGGCTGTGCCTGCCCTCGGCCCCAGCTCTGAGCCCCCAGGGGCCCCCTGGCCTCAAGCTGCCCAAGTTTGTCACAGGAGGGCAAAGGAACTGCTAGACCTGGTCACAGGGATTTTAACAGCTGGGAGAGCTGAGGCTGGGCTTTAAAAGGGCAGATACTGAGATGAGAAGAACAGGAGCTGAAGGGCCATGAGGTGACTTATGTAAAGCAAGAAGCTGTTCGAATAAAAATAGACAAGGCGTCTAGAGGTTGGGAAGCTATGGTGTGGGAAAAGTAATACAAGAATTTTAAGGAAATGTCTAGGTCCCAGAAGGAGTATCAGGTGAAGGAATAGGTGAGTTTGGCAGATCATCCAAACGACAGTAACTTTCCTGACATTCCTATGTACATAAAAGTTTTCTGTAAAATTTTGTGAACCATCTCTGCTAACGTGGCTAATAATGCTCAGGAACCATTCCACCGAACGGGTGAGGTCGGCTACCCAGCCTCAGATGCCATGTCCAAATTTCCAATGTTGCAGTGAAAGACTGGTTGTGAAGTCCTAGTCCCAGTGCAGTCACTGGGCAATTGGTCACTCCCTTCAGAGGGACTGGGACTTCTCTCTCCCTCTCATAAACAGAGCCAGTACTAGTCCCTGTTTTCTAAGGAAACATCTGAAGGTGAACTGCAAAGGGTTACAAAATACCCTTTTTTTCATATGTTATAAAGAGGAAGGGAAATTCCACAGCTGCTATTTAAACTTAAACTTAATGCTGTACGTTAACTGAACTTGAAAGTCATTAACAAGGCCAACAAACTGTGACAATTTGGATTAAGGGGGCTTTAATAAAGAGCAAGATTTTCAATATCTCTTTAGAACAGACACAGTGGAGTCATTCATTATGGAGACCGAATCTGAACGGATGCATGCAGGGAAATGGGAGGACTATCCAACTGCAAACCAGCAACAGGAAGATGAGAACAGCTGAGCACTTGCAAAATGGCAGAGGTAATTCTTTACATTACCTGCAGAGGTATAATAAATTACTGTACTTGTGAATTATAAAGGCTCCTTAACTACCAGTTAAACAGATACAAGTCTGGAATGTAGAAAATAATTTCCTTTACTGTGCATATTGATTATTCCAACCACGTGGACCTAAAATGCAAAGATCTCTTGAAAGATACTGAAAAACAGTCTTGATTTCTGCACAAGATTAATTTCTTCCCTCTCAAACTGACTGAAATGGATAGCTCTAGTGAGAAGATAATCACTCTAGTGAGTGAGAAAATCAGGATGCAAAATAAACAGTTTTGCTAAAAAAAAAAAAAAGCTGATCCCATCTCTGGGTACAAACTAGAATCATTTGAAAAAATAGAGTTTTTCTTTGTATGCTTTACCTGAGGGCAGAGAGACGTGTGTTTTGCAGGTCTCGTGACTGCACAAGCCCTACTAATCAAAGCCACTGGTCAACAGATGGTAATCCTGTCATTTTGGGGTCACATTTCTTTGGGGCATAATTTATTTGTTTACTTATAAACAGCCCAAAGCCATTTCTGATCCCTATTTCCTTTTTCAGTTTGAGAGCCTCATCTACCTCCTATATATACTCCTCCTGCCTAATATACCTCTCGCCAGAGAAGGAAAGAGTAGAAGAGCATACAGCTCTAGCAAGGAGAGGAGAAGACCTTGAGAGCTGCCCTTTTCCAGAGGATCAGTTTTTCAAGACAGGACAGGTTGATTAACATTGCACTGCGAGCAGCCCGCTTACCTTGGCAATATCGTACATGACAGAGATTTTAAATTCCCAGTCCATGAATGTGCCATCAGGGTAGGAGATTTTATCATTTAAAACATCCTGTCAAGAGACGAAAAAGATGGTTCTAATCTACATCAGAGGAAAAGCAGAAGATGAGATATGGGTACCTACATCGCACAGCTTTCAACCAGTGACTAAAAGAGGTAGCCCTTTGGTTTTTTATAGGGAGTACACGCACTAGAGCAGGAGTTGACTCAGAAAACAGGGAAAATGAAATATATTTTAGCTTTACACAGAGCTAGAAAAGTGGGGACTCCAGAACTGAGGTTTTTTGTGTAACTGAACGTAAATTGTGAATTTGCTTTTAAAGCCAAAGCTTTAATAAAGCAAAATAGCTGAGACATAAATGGGCAAGAGAAAGGGAGAGGAATTTCTGAGTTTTGTGCTCACAGTTAATCTTGTACCTATTGACTTGTAAGTTAGAAGTAAACAAAGTGCCAGTCATTTATAGGTCTTCCAGTCACTATGATTTCTGTCGCTAAAAGTAAACCTTCATGAGTATGCCAGTTTGCAACAATGGAATAGAGATAGTGCTGTTATTTTGCTTTTTGTTCCAGAGGTCAATGGTACCAATGGAAGTCTTTGTATGAACTCAGAAAAGCAGAGACACTGTGTGCCTGCAGAAGAGCTGATGCCGCTAATACTTCATAATTAGCACTGAAATAATTTTTCATAGTAATAAAGCATAGGTCTTCCCATACCTTTTGTCAGGCATCAATTTACCATTTCTTTTGATAGATAAAAATTAAGGGCTGTTGTCCCTTACAGCACAAGATTTGCCATATTGCAGCCTCAAACTGTTTGCCCCTTATTACTCTGGAATATATTCTTTTCTCTATCCTTTCACACTCCAAGGAAATTGCAAGGTCCACAAAGGCATCAGCAAAGACAACAGCTAAAGCTTGGAAAATAAAGAATAAGGTATATCCTATATGCTCCCAGTAGGGGGGAACAATACAAATACTGGCTGTTGCTGTTGCCTGGGCAGAGCTCTGCCCACACCTTTCCTTGTTTGCACCTCATTTCATCCTCTGGCTGCTGAGAACCGTCAAACTGATGGCAGCCGTATTAGTGCAGGTGGAAGGCTGGAGACAACCAAGCAAGGGAGAGGAAACTTGGGGTCAAAACCTGCCACCTCTTGCTCAGTTCATGGCTGCTGCAAGAGGGCCAGAGACATAGAGATGGGGATTTTATTTTTTTTTTACTTTGAAATTTGTCAATTTGGGGATGGTAGGAGACCTGCAAAATTCTTTACCCGCAGAGAACCTCTTTCGCAGTACTCAATCACCCCAAAAATCATGGCGTCTATCTTCACAGTGCCATAGAACTTGGTCAGGTTGTAATAGTCAATCTGTAGAAGCTAGAGCAGAAAAAATGCATCTAGTTTTAAAAGCAATCATTGTTAGTACAGAAACATGGGTCACGGATACTTGTGTAACATGGCATTTTGTCTCAGGCCCTGGTAAGATGCGTGAGTTTCCTTTAAACTAGTGTGTGCTAAGGCACTGAGTGAAGTACTTGAAGGCATCTGTCATTCCAGAGTCTTCTGAATTAGGGAGATAAGAGCGGCTGCTGTTGGATACTGCAAATTAATTCCAGAGCCTACTACAGTCTTCATTATTGCCTCTCTGCTCAAACCTCCCAGCTGACCAGAATAGCCATCAGGAGTGACACAAGGTTGTGAATCAGTCAGTAAATGAACAAGTGATAAAAATTTAATGGCACTGCATGATATTATGGACGTTGTCCATTTATATAGACAACTGTAGTTTACTTTGAGGTATTTTTAGAGCTTACTGAATTCACAAAAGCTGCAGTGTGTAAAAAGGAAAACTCTTCATTCAGAAAAGATGCAGTACTGCAGCCAAATTCATCTCTCATGTTGGAAAAGTCTGTATGCACAAGTCAGCAGAGAATTACTTATACTCAAAGAGCTGCACTTGGCATTCAATAACAAGATTTAACTACAACATTCTGCTAATAATGAATTAGCATGATATGAGCAAAGTGTGCATTGCCTGTATTTAGTGAAGCCATGTGACAAGGATGAGTTACTTCATTCATCCTTAGCTTCACTGGCATACAGTCCAGACTCTGTAATAGTGATGAAATCACACACAAAAAGAGAAAGTTCATCAAGCAATATTATTTGAGCAACTCATTACCCATCCACCTCACAAACATGCACAAGCATATGGCCATTGGAGTTGACAGTGCAAAGAAATAACTTCACTCTTAGGCTCCATCCCACCCTGCAGGGTCCAGTTGCTACATGCAGCAGTTACCTTGTTCAGTTCTATTTTTTGCTTCTCTGAGAAATTACCGTCACTGTTTTTGAGATCTTTTAGGATCACCACCTGAAGAAAAAATACCAGTGGGAAAAAAATCATAGTTTTAGTACAACAGCAATTCATAATTCTTTTCCAAGAAATGTTTGTACAGAGTAATACTTCAGAAACACCTGTCTGCTGCTTCGCTGTTGGAGTTTCAGTTAATCAGCTAATAAGTAATGAAGTTATATTTCCTTCAAATTATTTACCAGGTCAATTTAGAACTGTCAATGCAGATTTTAACTCAAAATGAGCATACCTCAGTCAGGCAGGTAGCTCTACTGAATGTACAACAATTGCCACGTACATGGCCTGCCCTCTATTAATCCATTAATCCTCTCAGTACCAAAATATAGCAGATCTCTGGTCCGTCTGTTTCTGCTTCCATGCTTCTGCGCTAACCTAGTGGCTCATGGAGTCTAATATTTTGCCTTCCATCAGTTAGCGAAATGCAAAGCATCGGACAGGGAATAAATAGCTTATTCCTTCCAGAAGATCAAGCCATTTTGCAGGGTCAGGGGAGGTGGGATTGTCTCTGGAGAGGAGTGGCCTCATCCCAGAAAGGGCCCTCCTAAGCCAAGGAGGGGAGTGTGGACACTGCAGTCACGTTACCTTCTTGTCATATTTGCCTTGGCGCAGTCTCTGGGTGGTGTCACGTCTCTTATCTTCATCGATCTGAGAACAAAGAAGAATAATTAACTTGCAATTATCACCTACTCAATACTTGGCAGATCCAGAGAGATAAGTAATTTCAGTGTGTGCCACACAGAGAAGTATATGTCTCTCTCTCGGGAGGTTCTCTACATGCCACAGAAAGTGTGGGACATCCATGCCACTCCCATGGTTGCTGGGGCCTCCACCTGCTGCTTTCATGCTCCTGGGCATTACAGAAGCATAACAACATACAGGAAGATAATTTGAAACAGAAGAGACTGGAAATCAATGCCCAGCCCATCACAAAATAAGCTTTACTGCTAGGGAACAGATATATCCTATTGGGGAGCGATAGATGGGGAATAATCTCTTTTATCTTCAACAGAGCAAGTGAGGGTTAAGAAATTTTTTTTTAATTAAAATTAATTGTAACAGATCCTAATGTTACTAGAGCCATCGCCTGCATTGTAGTCACAGCATGCCAACACCCGAGCATCGATGATCTTTAGAAGACACAGTTTTGGGCATTGAGCTTCTCTTACCTTCAAACTAACATGACTCGTCTCACTGGTCTCCAGAGGCAAGATTTCCTCAGGCGGTATATGGGACCATTTCTTCCACCGGCGCTCATTATCTCTCCTGTACTTCCTGCAAAACGAGAAACCTGGTTCAGAATATCCTCCCAGTGAACCGAAACTCACAACAGGAGATTAGGACAGAGAAGCTTCTAGTGTCAGTATGACACAAGGATGGAATGTCAGGTTGACAAAGCTTGAGCACAAGCCCTGTGGCTCTCACAGAGTTTTCTAGTTTGAGGCTGCTCTAATTTCCCTAGCTTTGGGAAAACGCAATTACTCTTTCAATTCCATAGTCGTAGCAGAAGAACAGAAGAGATTTAGCAGAACAACTGCTAAGCAATTGCCAGAGTCTCAAGGGAGGTTAGAACAATTTAAACACAAAGTGCTGTCTGGGTTTTATATAGTTTTCTCCTCCATGTTATTGAATGTACTCTGGAGGGAGGTCCCACAAACAAACGCAAGCCAAAGGAAGTCCTGATATCAGAACTGGATGGTAAGAACTAGTGTGAACACAATGCCAAGAGAGGAGGTAACAACAGCGTTGAGATGAGATGCCTTTTTGTCAGTGTCCCTTGTATTCTGCATATTTTGTAAAAATAAAGAAAGAGCCATTGGAATGGTTCGAAGGAAACTGCTATCTTCCTTGCAGTATGTCAGAGCAGACGCTGTCTTCTGTTGGAGAAAAGCTGCAAGATGACTAGGACTTATCAAAATACCTGTTTACTCATGCAAGTCCTTCCTCTATTAAAAAAACCAACCCACAGGACTGACTGCAGACACTGCAGGAGAATCCTGACGCACTGATAACTGCTGGAAAATGCTCCAAGTAGGAGAACCCACAACATTGACTAATAACATACATATTCCCTTTTCCCAATATATTTTAACATACATATGTGTTGTGTAAGGAAAGGAAGATCAATAACTGTGTTAAGAACTTTTTTTCTCAGTTCATTCTTCAAAGCTGTGTTGTATCACCAAGATGCACTGCCATTCAAACTGGTATCAGCTGGTGATTAAGGACATATCAAACTGAATTAAAATCTACTAGGTCTAATAATCAGTTATGTGTTTTTCAGAAGTCTGCATTTTTACTTAATAGTCCCAACTACTTAGGGAGTTGTGGGATAGTTCAGGTGTCCTAGAAACTTGGGAGATAAAGAAGGAATACTGAGGCATTTTGTCATTTTCGTAGCTAAGTCTCTCTTCTCCTTTGCTTGTTAGGGGACAATCTTTGGTACCAATTATAGTTGAGAAGTTTGCTATTATTTCAACACTAAAAGTGCAAGATTTGTTCTAAAAAATACTCAGGAATGTCTTCTGTATTTGATGCTTGGGAATATTACAATGATATGTATACAATAATAACCTAATCATCTAGATAGAATCTTTAGTTTTAATGCAGATGCAAACATGGGAAAGTACTGAACCATTTACAGCAATTCTATACCGTCTCCAGACAATTTTTTTATCCATTTTCATAGCCATTAAAAACTTTACTTGTCTGTTTATATGGTAGTGCTGAGATGTGGCAATGATTAGCTCTTCTATTTCTTGGATACAACTGGATGTGTAAGGGTTGTATAACTTTATCTTTGATTTTTCCCTTATAAAAAGCTTTAATTAGCAAGGCAGATTGGCCCACTCAAAATAAAAGAGCCTGGGTAGTGTCTTTTTTTAATTAAGTTTTCTTAAGACTTGATTTTCTCACTTTTTCTGAAGTTCTTTGATATACAGCAAAGACAGATTCTGAACTACTGAAAACAGATGCAGCAGTAAGATTTCCTTTTACTATTATTGTTTTTAAATATGAAAGAAAACCATATACTTTCAAAATGGAGTGGCATTTCTTCCAGCAAAATGAATTTGATTTCTATTTCTGGCTGTTCCATCATGATAAAGCTGAACTGTGTTATACTCATGAAATTCTAGCTGGTAGAAAAGTCAGTATGTGATGAGTTGGACTGAGTCAGAGGAAACTGAAAGATAGGATGGATCCATGCAATGCAAACACAAAAACATGGTGTTTTCACTCCTACGGGGACTCAAGACAAATACCTCCTTCTAGATTGAACTTTTACGTCACCAATAGTTTAAAGAAATGTAAGTGAACCACAAGTAAGCTGAAGATGGACAGCAAAGTGGAAAAAGTCTGAAGACTGGTCTGAGACATGTTTCTGTGTTTGTACAGGAAACAGAGCTTTTCAGCAGATGCAAAAACTTTGAGACTTGCTGCATCTTCTCCCTTGCTTATTAGCCTGACATAACAGTGCTGTGGATGAAAACACTACTTGGCATATACTGAAGAGATCACACTGAGGGCAACCACCCAGTTATATAGGGTAAGCTAAGGAATCGTTCTTCAAGGAGAAATCAAAGGCATTGCCATAGAAGGACAAACAGAAGGCCAAAGGGATTGGTACCTTAGAATCAGCAAAGAGATGATCAGAACCAGAATCACAATTCCCGTGAGTGTAAAGACAGCAATAGTCAAGATGTGTGGGCCTGCAGAAAAGAAAAATTGAAAAACAAACAACTTGACAGAAGATGCTAAAAAACAATATTATATTTTAGAAATTACCCTTACCCGCACATGTGCAAGTCACAGTAGCTGAGCAGGGATATCTTTGGTCACGTCCAAACTGAGAGGCTTTGATAAAAGTCCAGCACTGCCTGGAGAAGACGCACAACACTGCGGGATGAAGCATGACCCACAGCAGTGCACTCTTACATCCCCACCTGAAGCATGGGCACTCTATAGTGACACCCAGGTGGGAGGTGAATTTAACAACACTAAATCTCACATCAGCTCAGCAGCAGTTTTCAAGTGTTCTCCTCTTTAAAAACAAATTAGGAAGTCCAGGAATAAAGCTGACTTTTCTTAGTAACCATCTTCTAAGAAAACAAAGCAGCCAAACTTCTTAGGATAACTTAGGATGGTGGAGGCAAACCTTGGGCACAACTGTGGGGTGGGGATGTAGATGGGGTAAGCAGCTGACCATTTGAAATCAACCACTGGCAGGCAGGAAACATTGTTTTCCCCCAGCATACCTAGGACTTAATGCAAAATGGGCTCCTCATTGACTCCTTTGGATAAGGCTTGATCCCTACTGTTTTTATCCTTAAATACAATACTCAGTGATGATTTTCTGATTCAGACTTTATGATGTCTTTTCCTTTCCAGTCCTGTTGGGTACCCAGCCAGTGAGAAAGGCATATACCACTTTCACAGTGAATTTCCCGTAACTACCCATACCTTTGTCACCCAGAGTCTTTACTGATATAATTTGCTCCAGGATGGGACACACCTGAAGCTTCCACTCAGAATTTCAGCTGATAGAGAGCCACCTGTGGATTTGAAAGGCATTTACTAAATTGTCCCTGGAAGCTGCCAGGCACCGAGCAATTTGAAAATTTGGCTGTTCAGACATCTGAGGACAGACCCAAAACCACAGAGAACAAAAGGCTTTTAATCCTGAGCAGGCAGGTAGGACAGCCAAGGATGGGAATTGATTATTTAAGGTTGTAATTTTGATTGTCTTAATGTGGAAAAGCAAACTGAAGCTTGTCTTGGGTGAGTTCTTGGAGCTCAGGGGTAATGGGAAGGCAAGTTCCAACTTCCTTTGAAAATCAACAGGCCATTAGCGCAGAGCTTCATCTGGTGGCCTCACATCTAGAGTGCACCTACTCTAATGAGCCAGTCGCTTAGGCAAAGAAGGCAGAGGAGAATCTAGTTTTGCGAATTGCTGTGTTTGTTATGGATAGTAAAAGAGCTGAGCTGATGAGCCTTGCTGAGGTTAACGTACTTTTGCCTGTGCCCAGAAACAGAAATAAAGGCACACAGGAAAATGATGAAGTGTAAAATTAATAAATAAATAAAAGGCAACTTGACACACACTAGCTGCCTTCAGAATCACGCAGCAACCGAGCAGGGTTTTTCATCATGGAAATGGGTCTGCATCTGACATAGAAGTCAGTTTAGGAACTTCCCTGGATTTGGAACATAGCTTTCTGGCTTTGATTTTTCTTGTTCTATGTATCATGCCTTTTCACCTTTTTTCTGTGCATTCATTCCAGCATCAGCCTCAGGGCCTCCTAGCGACTTTAATATTAGTCTGATGCTCTCTATTGAAAACGGTGCTGCTTTCCCTCTGCCAACAAAGGGCATGAAGTCACCACTATAAAACCACGGATCCGTGAGGGTGTGCAAAGCCATTTCGTAGGAATTCTCTGACACTTCTGGTCTGTGAATCGTGGCTTGCAGCTTAACAAGCAGAAGGTTGTAGTTTCCCATGGAAGGGCTGGAGGACCGCAATTTGCCGTTCCCGAGGCTCTGCTACCACCTCTCGGCTCTCACTATTACTACACGCAAAGGGAAAGTGCCTCACAAATTCGCTTGTTTTCAGGTCCTCTGGAACCGGCAATGTTTGTATTGAAGGCTGACCTTATCCCTGTTTAGAGGAAGGTTTAAAAGTTTCTGAATAATGGGAAAACGTGGATGAAGCCCCTTTTTTAACGGGAAGAAACCGGGTAGCCGGACTGGGTCAGCTGTTCTCAATTACAGCCTGGGAAGGAACAGGGTTCTGGTTGCTGTGTCTGTTCCCCTTCCTGAAGGAAAAAAACATATTTCTGGTTGGAAATATGTTTTGACTGGCTTTGGCAAGACATAGTGATTACTTACATTTTGGCCAAAAAATGTTTCCCTTTGAGGGAATGTATTTATTTATAATCACACAGATGGAAGGTTTATTTTTAAAAAATGTGAAAGCAAAATAATCAAGTGTCTGTGGCAGGCACTTTGGTTTAGCATAGCTTGGCCACAAAGTCAGGCCTTGGTTAAGCACTGAATGTTAAATTACTGTTTTGTAGACACTGGCTTTCCGCAATTCTCATTTTTCTTTTGCCCTTGTGCGGCAGCTTCAAACAAGGACATACTCAAGGGAATGTTTTAAAGATAAAAAGATCCAATGACAACACAGCATGTTGTGGGGCCCAAGGGATGGATGAGAGTGGGACTGGAGCAACACAAAGTCTAGAGCCCAGCAGCACATGGCACAGGGAGCTGATGTAGGGAGACCTTGTGGCTGATGTGCAGTGTTGCCACCTCTGCACAAACAAAACTTGTGGTCATACCAAGGGAGAACAGAGATTTGATCAGAGCTGAAAAATAAAAGCTCCACTGGACTCCCTCTGCTCTTCTCAGAGCTGTCTAACTGGTGTCTTGTCAGTGCTGCTGCCTGCTCCTGGCAGCTCCCATGTATTCCTGGCAATAAACCACTACTTCTGCCTCTTTTAGGTCAGGTAAGCTCTGACTTGAAGCCATGTGAATGACTTTACTGAGAAACAAAATTGTTTGTATCCACATACCACCATGCTGCGAATGGATTCTTAGTTAGCAGACGTTTGTTCCTCCAGGTACCACTTTCATAGAATCATAGAATGTTAGGAGTTGGAAGGGACCTCTAGAGATCATCTAGGCCAACCCCCCGGCCAGAGCAGGATGCGCTAGGGCAGCCACACAGGAACATGTCCAGCTGG